GTGTGAAACGTCTAAGTTCTGCAGATTATGGCGACCATTATATTCAAACAAAGGTCACAGTTCTGGCATAGGAACTATTGCGCTTCATGTTCCTTCCCGAAAATCGTTTTCCTTCTGTCTGTCAAATGTAATATAGGTCTTTAAATTTTGCTTTTTCTTAGCCACTTATGTACGAAGGAGGGTTCGCTTATGTTGACATGGGCTGGTGGAGAAAACCTAGAAATGGAAGAGTGAATGGCTTTGAAGATACGGAACTTTGTGGCGCGCAAATTTCATTTCCCGCGAGTTATTTTCTTTGTCATATGCACATTTTGTCTATAACGTGTGCAGTTTAAATTTTTCGTGTAATGAGTTATTTAAAGGAGAGGAGTCGAAGGATGAGAAACCTGAGGATAGCAACTCACCTAAAGGTGCGTCTAACACAACAGAATCTGTTGGGGATTCAGATTTCTTAGGGGAACGACATTTGGAAACTAGAAAGGTTTGTTAGCGCATGTAAATTTCAGAATCTGAACTGAGTAGAATTCCTGCTGTTGAATCGCGTTTAGGTGACGACTCAGTTAATTCAAGGAATGCCACCAAGGAACATGCTTCTGAGCAGCAAAATGAAGCTGAGAGAAAAAAGCATTCGGTTTCCTCTTAGTTACCAGCTGTGCTAATTTTGTTCCAATCATTTTCATACACTAAGCTGGCCGCGATCACATTGTATTTTCCAGATGATATTGTTATGGTTATGGGCTTCTTGGTATTGGTTTCAAATTGTGAAGTGCACAGAATTGATGTAGACTTACATTTATCATATGTGTCAGTTCTACGGTAAATGGTTACATATGAATAGCAAAGACCTGGTGTTCTTGATGATGTTGCTCTCGTTCGCTACTTTCTTGAATGCACTAATTTTTGGTCGAGTTGTTGTGTCCAAGTGACCACAGTGGAAATTTTACTTAAGTATGAATTTGGCATCCACAGCGTTTGACTTGTTGGAAACTGACGGTGGGAATGATTGTGCAACATCAGATAGCGCAAATTTGGTGAGTAATGTAGACAGACATTAACTGGTTTTTCCATGTCCTTTTGTAGATTCTTCAGTAATCGTTTAATAATTTAGGTTTTTGTGTCAGATGAAGATTTGAATTGTGGTTATGACCACACAGCGGATCGCTATGCAGAGCTCTTGGGCTTGGTGGAAGCTCAAATAGAACTTATCGATCGTCATCTATACGAGATTGAAATGAAGCGGAAAGGACTTTCGGAGAAAAAGGTGCACTGCTTTATAATCAAGTTTTACAATACTAATATCTAGACGCTGTTGCGGACAGACAAGAACTTTGAATAGTAGAGATTTGTATAAATTTAGTCAGTGTTGGAAAAGAAAATGGAACAGGATCAGCGACAAGACTGTCCCATGAAAAACAAGATTCCTGTTATTCAGTATCTTCCTCCATATTTTAAAGATGAAAATATGATGGTATACCATTTTTTCCTTAAAATAGTATTGTACTATGATTACGGCACTTCATCTTGAACCATAATATGAATGTTTTCAGTGCCCTCCTCTGAACGAAGAGGCCAAGCACAAACTTCGGTACACTACTTTCGACCCCCTGATCAAAGAAGACAAAAAGTGTGGGTCAGATTTGTTGCTACAAGAAAAATTGGTAATTTTGGTCTGAGAGTCTAACATGTTTCTTTGATAATACTACAATTTCAATCGCCTTCTTGTTATTCTTCCAATGTTTGCAAATCTCATGTTTTGGTGCATCGTATCGATTTTCATCCGTTTATTAAGCCGTATATTAGTGCCACATACGACTTATACATTCGTAGATAGGCAAGAGGAGGGGAGTAGTGTATCGTACGAGTCATCTATGATTCGTTCTTTTTTTGGCTGTTTATTTTATCTCACAGCTTCTGTTGTGCTGGATGTGGAGTTCGAGAGAAACTGTATTCAGCACTTAATAACTTCCAAAATTCACCTATTTTGAGACAGTTTTGTTGCTCAAACGACAAACTGTTGCTGGAAAGGAAGGTACGAAGAAATTATAGTAGGCTGAAAATAAAAAGGTATAACATTGATGCTGAGATATTTGCAAAACTCTGGACCGCAGGTGTCTATGGTGGGGAACGAACGCGCTATTGTCCTTTCCGGGGAGTAACGCGTTCACCACCACACCATGCGGGTCCTTTGTTTCGCCTGTCTCTCAGCTATTTCTATCGATCTTTGCCACACCAATCACCCGTCTGCGGGACTGATCCGCTTTGGGCGCCCCAGACAATAGCGCGTTCGTTCCCCACCATAGACACCTGCGGTCCAGAGTTTTGCAAATATCTCAGCAACGTTGTGGTTGTATCTCAGCATCGTTGAAGTTATATTTCGCAGTTTACTCTGCCATTAAAAAAGAGTAGGCAGTAAATAAAACAGTTAGGATTTTGAATTAACTGCCGTTTCATTTTAATCGCTCTGATTAATCATGGTTACTATATGGAATATGCAGGTATAAAAAATTCTGAAATAGGCTGAACATAAGCTGCTAAATACGTCGTTGAGCTAACAGCTATGTTTCCTCACGATAGATTATAGTAACGTATAGTTAACAGCTTGTATATCGTAGCTATAAAGCGATGGTGAAAAGTCTTTTGTACAACGCCGTCATGTTCACAGCACCCAGTGTACTCCAGTTATCGAGAAATTTTTGTTTATTGTCAAGAAACCAGCAAGGTTTAGACATACAAATTAGGTGTCGTCGCTAATGGGTCAACATCTAACGCCCTTGGTTCAAATTTGCTTAACTTTCGCGTATTATGTCTACTCATTTGTGGTGCAACCTTACTAGTGCCGTTCTCCGAAAACAGGCTATAGTTTTTCGATAACTAAAACACAGAACACTTGAGGAATTGGAAACATGATGGGATTATAGGGGAGACCTTCCCCAGTTGCTCAAGGGACATTTGTGGTATGCGTGCTTTTACTTTCTATGTGTTGCAGTGCTCCACTGCATAATCATATTGCTGCAAACATTTGAAATTGCAGTGTGTATGTGTTGTTTGCTAGTGAGCGCATAGGAGTAGATTGCGCGGTGTGCATTGGTTTGAATGCATTTCTTTCTAAGTTTTTTGCCACATGGAACTCCTAAACTATCTTTACACTGACTTAATAGCTTTTTCTGTGCACATATTGTATCTTCCATGGTTCGTAAAAAGTTATTCTCAAAGGTTTACCCACTCGAGAGTATACGAATTGGTTTCAGTGCGTGTGATGCGAAAATAGTTGTCACTTTTCACTTTCACAGATTTGCGACCATGCCTACTTCGATCGCGTAAACTAATCCTTTTATGTAGCCGGAGATCTGCTTTTGAAATAATGTATAGAGACCCATATTAATCCCCTCACCAGTTGACCATGACCTTTCTATTGTTCACGTTGCTCTAAACTTCGGGTTTCTCAATATATCCAACTCTTGTGCTTTATGAAAGAACTCGTCCTTTACATTAGTGTCAGCCTTCACTAAAGTTTTGTAAGATGTTTCGAAGTATATTTCGCTGTTTCGTGTGTTCTTTGTAAAAGGCAATTCCGTATGATATAGGTTGCTACAGGCGATTGAAGTGAATGAAATAGCAGTTAAATTATTGATCAAAATTGTTGAGTTTTGTAGGTTTAAATCAAATGGGAGACAGGCGAGTTAGGTTTTACTTTCTTTTGTATGTTCATCAACAGTGAACTGATGGGGTCTCATATGCTACCCTTAGACGCACAATCTGAAGCGTATCGAAGGATTACGACAAAGACGATGGCAATGAGGTAGTCGTTGATGGTGGTTCAGCTGGCCCGCTCATTGTGGTGCTTCACGGTTATTGTGTTCGCGAGCCAGTTGGTCCAGTTGAATGGATAGAGCTAACAAATTTTTTGAATTCTTTGTGGTTCATGAGAACTTCTTATAAGGGAAGAGATGTGTGCAAAGGATCTTGATAAACAGTTCTCGAAGGGATAAAAAGGTTGAGCTTACAGGGCATCAGCTTAGTGCAAACTCTGCTACAAATATAACTCGTATGAAGTGCTGAGATATTTGCAAAACTCCGGACCACAGGTGTATGCAGTGGGGAACGAACACGCGCACAGCGCGTGTCCTTACCGGGGAGCAGCGCGTGTTCGTTCCCCACTGCATACACCTGTGGTCCGGAGTTTTGCAAATATCTCAGCACTTCATACGAGTCATAGTTCACAACATACCCTGCCATTAAGAAGAAAAAGGCAGTAAATAAAAGAGTTAAGATTCTGCTACAAATATTTTCGATTAGAACTTTTACAGCATTAGTGAAGGGTTTGGAGAGTAGGAGGTCAGAGTCTATAATACTTCCAAAAATGCACTCTGAACATTGATGAATGCGCATTCTACTCAAATACAATGTCCTATTTCATATTACAATTACATATATGCAGTTTTCCCTTGTGGTGTCCCATAAAGCACTCTGGTAACTAGGAAAATTCTTATTATTTGTGAGAAAAGCAGGCATAGTCGCAAATACGTCAGTGATTCAGTACATTTTTCGGGGACATTAATTCTGTTTTGTTAAAAGATAGGTGGAAATAGAAGATTTTCTGGTACTATCAAGAGGATAACTACGTGGTTTAACTGTCAACGAATCTCTTTTACCACGGAGAATGGTCAAAAATCTTCCAGAAACATGGAAAGTTACACTAAATGGAGACCACGTAGGGTATTTAGGAAAAAACATGGAAAACAGCGAAATTATGTGCAGGAAAGCCAGCTTATAAAATGAGAAAACACAAAAGGTACGTTGTCGATAGCAAACGAGATTCTAATTTGCGGAGACTGATCAGACCGAGCAACGAGATTCTAATTTGCGGAGACTGATCAGACCGAGCGCATAGAGTCTGATGCATTTCACGCAAAGAAGAGTTAGGCACACTCCAAGCTTTGGTTGCAAGTAAGTGGGCGTTGTTGGCATTGTGGTGTGACACAGTATGCCTGTGAAGTCGTACTATACGTGACTTAATAATTCTTCTTGAATACTTCGTTCCATTGTCAAGTGTTACCATGCTAGCCCAATAGTTAAAACTTTCTAGGGACGTCCAACGAGCTGCGCTTACTTCGAGATTCTGTGAAAAATTCTGTCATTCAAGCGGGAATCCAGAAATTCGTTGACAGGTCCGATAATTCCGGTCGATATCGTTTCGTGTTTACTTTTAATAAGTTCGTTTGTTATGTGGACATTTTTTAACAACTTGTTTGTTCCAGAAAGGAAATCTTACGCTCCAAAATTCTTCGTGCTGGTGTTGAAAACACGAGTGAGGAACTGAAAGCATGGAAAGAAGAAATCGAGGCTCTCGATCGCAAGATTCAGCATTCGCGTGCGGGACAAGTAGATTCCCGCGAAGTGGATGTCATAGATTATTCTTGCGTGGACTGGATGAAGATCTCAACTGTCGAAGTCTGTTTTACCTTGACATCGCACTTCTTAGTGCAAAGAAGGGACCGTTGTGTAGCTTAAAGGATGCAGATAATTTTATTTCTACGCTCTTTTTTTGTTAAGTTTCCACGTTTTCTAGAGAGTATTCAGTGTTTAACAATTATAGAGGTGTTGTTTTGAAGGATAAATTTTTAAAGTGTTTATAACAAGACTATACTTTCGTTTAGTTCAAAGGAACTCGATCTGCTGCGGCGTTAAAGTACAAATGGTTAAATGAACAGTGCCCACGATGGAATAGCGGGCCGTGGGCGAAAGAGGAATTAGAGCGGCTTAAACACCTTCGTGAAGAGGTTTTATTCCTTTTATTCTCCTCTACTTTCGTTTTAGCTTACTCTTTGAGAGATGCACACTCAGAAGTCCTTTACATCGTGGGCTGCGCTTGCAAAAAAACTTGGGACCGACCGCACTCCATATCAGTGTTTCGAGAAGTATCGTAGTGACATATTTAGATCGACTAAGTGAGTTTAATTAATCGGTGCCCATTAAAGAAATATTCACTCTTCATGTCAACAAATTTGGAAATAAATATTTATTTATGTGGACGTCCTTATTCCAGAGAATGGACTAAAGAAGAAGATGATCGTTTGGTTGCTCTGGTAAAAATCATGACCGTTAATGACACGGTACAGTGGGACAAAGGTAAATGTTTTAGTCCTGATCTGCCATTAATGGTCTTAAATTTGTCTTTTAATACGTGATATTACCTTTGCTTTGGGTCTTTTTTCAAGTGATAATTATTAAAAGTTATAGTTTCGTTCTAGTTTGTTTCTACATGCCTGGACGCAGTCGACAGCAAGTGCGCACTCGTTATCAACGCACACTTGATGAAAACGTTCGGCATGGTCGTTGGACTGATCATGAGGATCTTGTACGTCGTGACCACAGATTTCAACCATTCCAAAGCATCTTATGACTATTGTCGACTTTTCCACAATGTAATCTTTTATTACGGTGTATTTTCTATCTAATATATCTTTTCTGTCAAGTTGCTGATGTCGGCAGTAGCGCGGTTCGGAGCCAAAGATTGGGCAAAGGTGGCGAAGTGCGTGATAGGCAGATCAGATGGTCAATGTAGAGAGCGGTTTGTTGGCAGAATTTCTATAGAACATTCATATAGCTAGTCTAAGTTTTTGTGTGTTCTTATTCTTATTTTTAATTATAGATGGTGTAACGTTTTGGATAGGTGTACTGAAACAAACGACTGGCTGGCTGAGGAAGATGAACGGTTGGTTCTTGGTGTGCAAGTGTTCGGAAGAGGTAGGTTTTATAGAGTGTTGTAATTAAAGAGGTGACAGAAATACTGGATTATTTTGCGAGTTCTCAGTAGACTTGTTTCTATAAATCTATTTTGGTAGCGGCTGTTATTATTCTAGGACAGTGGGCAAAAATTGCCGAGATTTTGCCAAGGCACAAGCCAGAAAACATTCGAAGACGTTATCGTCATCTATTATCAACAAAAATGAGAGTGAGTGGTCGTTTTAACTTAGAAACTCTTATCTCCATCATCTCGATTCGTCAATCTAATTTTACTGATCTTCGATCTGATCTGGAAGAGAGAAAGCATCACTTTGGTTTTTCTATATCATATACGGCAGCTAAACTACTTTAAGTGGTAATAGTATTGGTAAAGCGAAGGTATATTAGCAAGTTTCATCATCGAGCTCGTCGTTTCTTCAGCTAATCAAATTCATTCGCCATCTCCGAGCGGGTGTGAAGCTCATCTAACATTTGTTTGTGTGCAATTGCTCCGTCATAATCCTAACCGTTTTATTAACTGCCTATTCTTTTTAATGGCATTGGCTATTGCAAAATATAACTTCAATCATACTGAGATGTCTGCAGAAGTCCGGACCGCTGTTGTCTGCGATGGGGAACGAAAGCGCTATTATCCTTTCCGGGGAGTAACGCTTTCACCACCACACTATCACAATGGCAGAGATCGATAGATCTAGCTGAGAGAGGCGAAACGAAGGACCCAGACGGTGTGGTGGTGAACGCGTTACTCCCCGGAAAGGACAGTTGCGCGTTCGTTACCCACCGCAGATACCTAGGGTACGGAGTTTTACAAACATCTCAGCATCATTGAAGTTATGCTCCGTTATAATTAGGGTGATTGTAACATATTTTACTGAAACCAATAGTTAGGAGATGGCACTCTTCTGATGTGTTTTAGAGACGGCAGATTTCCATAATTATGGATTCTTATCTGAGCTAACGCTAAACCAAGTGGCTAGCTGTATCTCAAAGCATCTGAAACCGCTTTAACATTCCCTACAAAGTCATAGAGAAGTTTTTAAAACTACTCTTGAAGAGTAAGAGAAAGTCCTCCGTAGTTTTCCATCAGTTTGTCACTTTTTTTTGTGCTCGTCTGGGTATACTCAAACCTCATTTTAAGCTTTGTTCTGCGAAGCTCGTTGGCTATCCTGTGGTATGCAACATGTCTCCGATTGCGGCAGCCGTTCACAAGGCGAAGCGTGACATAGTAGGTTTTTAATTTAAAAAGTTGTTGTGCAAATATTTTTATCTAATTTCATACGACGTTTGTTATTTACTAGCTCTTCCTTTCGCGTTTTAAACAGTTTGCTGCTTTTTAGAACATTATTTTGTAAAAATGGCGTTGTAAAAAATATTCCGTTTCAGCTGATAATTATTTAGGGAAAATATTTGCTTGATAGATAGTTGTGTATTGCTTCAGACGGGAAATGGATAAATTTATAACGTTAATGCAAATAACGCGTATGTCACCTACGAATTCTTGTATTACTTGTACTTTAAGGAGAAGGAAGTCAGCTAGCTTGTTGTCGTGTCGTCCGCATATGTGAAACCAAACGTTTTCCAGATGCGTCAACAACTTACTGAGGACAGTATAAAGGGAAAATTCTATCGCGCTGCAAAACAACAAGCTGAAAAAAATCAGAGCGCTAAGATGTCTAATATAGTAAGTCTTAGTAGGCATTCTTGATAGTCTTACACTACTGTGTTTGATCAATGTATTGCAGTAGGTGGTCTCGAAATTGATGTCCGATTTCAACCTATGTTTTCAAAATGGCCTACCTCAGTTTGCATAAACATTCTTTTAATGGAAGTAAAAGGCATTGAAGTTTACAAATTTTTGCCAACAAGAAACAAGTTTGTTTACACGTAAAATTCTAGTCTTCTGAAGGAGATGAATTCTTTGGAGGCAGTTTTGGAGTCGGCTTGCTTTTTGAAGCACATGGGGCACGAAAAGTTATCGAGTATTCTATAGTGTAGTATAGAAATGTATCGAGTGTTGAGCTGTCACGTGTTTTTTATAAAATATTTACTCGGTTAACGGCTCAGCGTCTTCACCTTCTTCATGGTCGGACTAATTTCACTTGATTATCCTCATTTGGGCATGATGGTCATGTGGTTATTTTCGAACCTAGTCGAATTGGGTGAAGTGTGCATCAATCGAATGAATAATTTCACTCTGCTGTACCCTTTAAAAAGGTCGATTCTCGCCATATAATACGATGTGCTTTTTTGCTGCTTCCTGTGGCAGTCGGTAGCACTCTAGCTACCGCGTGGTGTAGTAATACGTCTCTGAAGGTCTGTAGGTCATAGACGCCGATCTATCCGGCTCTGAAGACGGCAAAAATGTCAAAACATTAGCCGAATAAATAGTTCCCAGGATCGACTTTCTATTAACCTCGGCATTGAAATATGAATGTGTCGTTTTCTTGTTCAGCAATTGCGAGGTTTTTAAACAGCATACATTTGCTTCCATAAAACCACAATACAATACAACACTAGCTGACGTTTCGGCAGTACCGCCTTCTTCAGCGTCGCCTTTTACGTGACTAGGCCAAACGCTTCAATAACACAGAAAGACGAAAAACTCTTTGGTAATTACACGATCAACAACTTCTCGAAAAACCCACCGCTTTTTCGTGACTTCCAATGAGGAAGTTTAGAACAGCTGATTATAGTCGCATGTGGTTGACGACTGCACCATCCCACATCAAAAATCGATGCGAACGTACGGGATCAGGTCGCGTATGACCTCTGGGCATTCGTCCTTGCTATTCATTGTAGGGTTTTTGGAATTTATCCAAAAAGCCTCTAGGAGTTTTCGCGCTGGTGTTTTGGGCTCCTCTGCAAGGATATTGACTTTTACTTCAAAATCGTCTCCGCTATGCTTTTGTATCCTATGCGTGCCTAGTGGGGTGCTTCGTCTTAGTTTTCGTTTGCCATCTAGGTGTTCTTTTATACGGATACATAAAGGTCTGCCCGTTTCGCCAATATATTCATCTCTGCAATTGTTACAAGAGATCAGGTATATCGTACCTGAACTCGTGCATTCACCGTCCCTGCCGTAAGGGCAAATTACGCAATTTGTTGTCTCACACAGACGGTCACACAGGCGGTTGCGAACTAATTGGCGACGTAGAGTAGCCAAGTAACAAGAACACTCTTGTTCATTTCCTTTCTTCCCACCCTTCACACACAAAGGGGGCGATTGTGAGAAACATGTTTCGAACAGCCACCTCTGTGTGCACTACCGGGGAATTAAAGGAAGAATCGCACGACTTGGCTCGGCAAATAGCCATCTCCAATGGCTACGAAATAGTAACTCCACGAGATAAGTTTACAAGGAGGACGGCGCGCCCACGCGTGGAAGATTCGTAAGGAACGGCTGGAAGTAAGAATACTGTTTCCAATCCATATAAATACCCACTTGCATATTTGTGCCCGTCCTCATTGCTTGTGCGGGCTTCAGCATATTCTCCATTTTCGCAGTTTTGATGATCTAACCGTTGTGGTTCCCTGAAGTTCCGAGGTCAGCGTGGCGAAAGTGTGTCCCAGATCGTCACCACAACAGGCGTTCGCCGACCTTCGTGGATCGGAGAGATATCCCACCATGCGACTATTTTCATACCAGGACGGTGGTGGACGGTGGTATTGGTTTACTCTTAGCTGGGATTCCTGATGGAAACGCTGGACTCCTCAGCTTGGGAGACACTGCCGAGAAGACGAATCTCCTCACTGCCCAGGCATGATAAGGCGGTAAATCGTTGAGAAGATCCATGTAGATGCAAATAAAACTACACAAAAACCTAATAGAATGTTATATTAGAAGCAGTCATTAAAATGTTATACCTTTTTATTTTCTGCCTACTATAATTTCGCGGCAAGGTACTAAGCGAAATACAACCACAACGTCTCTGTAATATTTACAAAACTCTGGACCACAGGTGTCTATGGTGGGGAACGAACGCGCTGTTGTCCTTTCCGGGGAGTAACGCGTTCACCACCACACCTTGCGGGTCTCGTTTCGCCTGTCTCTCAGCTATTTCTAAAAGAACACCTAGATGGCAAACGAAAACTGAGACGAAGCACCCCACTAAGCACGTATAGGATACAAAAGCACAGCGGAGACGATTTTGAAGTAAAAGTCAATATCCTTGCACAGGAGACTAAAACACCAGCGCGAAAACTTGAGGCTTTTTGGATAAATGCCAAAGACCCTACAATGAATAGCAGAGACGAATGCCCGGAGGTCGTACGCGACCTGACCCTGTATGTTCGCATCAATTTCTGATCTGGGATGGTACAGTCGTCAACCACATGCGACTATAATCAGCTGTTCTAATCTTCCTATTTGAAAGTCACGTAAAAGACGGTGAGCTTTTCGAGAAGCTGTTGGTCATGTAATTACCATAGAGCTTTTGGTCTTTTTGTAAGCGTTATTGAAGCGTTTGGCCTAGTAGATTTTATATCAGTATACCGTTCCAAGCTCTGAAGAAGACGATACTGCCGAAACGTCAGCTAGCGTTGTATTGTAGTAGCCGAATAAATATTTTATATAAACTTCGTGTCAGCTCAATATTTGAAGTCATTGTCTGTGTGGAGGTGCAATAAAAGTCGGTTTTCATAGTTATTGGGATGTCTAGTAGGCCACGGTTCGGTGGGTGTGGTGGATAAGATCTAATTTCCTACTCTAGTTCGTTCAACTTCTGTGGCATAGATTGTGCATGTTACAGCGCCGTATGGTGACGAAAAAATTAGGCCATTTGTGTTGACCAGGGTGGGCTACAGTCGTTGATGATTCCGATGCATTTTCTTTCTACGCTTCTTAAATACAGAAATTATGTGCAAAATCGGAGCAGAAATAGCGAGTCCATCCTCGGGATCCACCTACGTCTCAGCAAAGCAAGGTTGCTTTTGTACGCGGTTAACCCCCGCCACCTGGGGACGCTCCATGTAGCCTGGCGGCTAATCGGCTATGTCGATCCCTCATATATGGGAGATGCGTGGACCGCCCCTTATGGTGACAGGAACATTGGTCCATTTGTGTTAACCAGGGCGTACCACAGTCGTTGATGATTCCGATGCGTTTTCTATATTTGATGAACGTACTTCGTAAAAATAACCTCGTGTTACCCAAATAAGAGGAATTGTGGTTAATTAAACCTGTGGCAAATCAACAAACGGTCAGTGTGGCCTTCTCTTGGTGTGTCTTTGGCTTTGGGAAGTGCTGTGGAGCCTAATCGCGGTGCAAATACTGAATGGATCCTCGGCTAATGTCCTGATGAATCCATTTTTTCTCTCAGATTGCCATACGATCGAGAAAAGAGTGGTTCTGGG